TATATTTATAACTTAAATTTTTACAAAAAACTAACTTATTTAGATAGCATTTAGATTATAAAAAACAACTAATTAATATTATATATTTGTTATAATTCAAGTTACTCTTATTATAGTAAACTCTCAATATAATAAATATTTAATATAATAAAGAATTTAAATTATTAATTTTTTTTTACTTTTTATTTAATTAATTATTTTTAATACTTTTTTTAATAATAATTTTTTTTATATTACTTTATTTTTTTATAGGTTAGATAATTTGTTTGCTTATTTTTAATATATTTTTAAAGTTATATGATAAAAATACGTATTATTATTAATAAAAATCTTTGCTTAGAGCTATTATAAATAAATTTTAATTTTATCTGACCTATATACTAATAGCTCGGGGTCCTAGTGTTCCGCACTTAGGTTTTCTTTTAAAAAAAATCGGGAAAATCGATTCTAATATTAAGTGTTCATTGGACATAGTCCAATGCCTAACGGTCCAAAAAATTATTTGGACATATTGGACATTGTCCAAATGTTAAGAAATCCAATTGAAATTATTTGGACATTGTCCAATGTCAACCCTGCTTGAAATTGATGTATAAAATTTTTCGGAATTAAGTAAATGCAGCAATAAACGCGCGTTATTTATTTCGCTTCTAGTCCAAAAGAGATCCAGAATCGTCGGTTCCGTGAAATGTAAATCGAACTCGGATCGTTAATTTCGAATCCAGGTTACGGGTCAAATTTAAGAAACACAGAATTGGCTATTTGCAATAAAGAATTTCAACTGTACTGTCGTGTAACATGGCCCAGATTTCTTAATGCAGGCCAAAATATCCAAATTTTGCAATTTATACATAATTCCTTACAGAAATTTACACCATAAAATTCAATGATTGAAGTTTCTCACTAAATTATCAATGTGATTAGACATGTTATTATATTATTATTTTAGAGAATCTCTCGACAAACTGTAAATATATTTATTCATCATCACGTTTTTTCAAAATGGAATAAGATCTCAACAAAGGATTAGAATTAGGTTTATGTCTAATATATGAAAATCTAGGGTCATCATAAGAAGTAGGTATGACTTCTTGGATATTCGAAAATGGATTAGATGTTGAATTTCTGAAACTTGATGGTGGTGGGTTTTTGGTAGATGGAAGGTCTCGACCATTATTTTTTTTTCGTGCTCTTATGTGTAGAATTATGATGAGTGCTACGATAATTAGGATGAAAACCGTAACTCCAATGACTGCACTTATTATACCTAGTTTTTTTGTTAAAAGTTGATCATTTGTTATTCACAAAACATTTAAACCTGAAATATGGTACTAAGTTCTTATAAGTTCTTACCTATTTTAAGTGCGGGACTAAAAGGATTAGATGGATTAAAGGTAGTAACCCAAGTCCAGTTGGTAGTGTCAAGTAAATAAATATTTGGGTTTGTGTTGTTTCTAGCATTTGTAATGTTGCCTAAAATAATCAAAATTTGATAATCAAGTAAATACTGTAAAAGTTGGTTTTCATGGATTTGATAATCAGGCAAGGAGTTTGATATAATCAGGCAAGGGATTTAATCATAAATAATCCAATACCAAAAGCAATAATCATATATTTCTCAATAAACGTGGCTGAATGTAGTGATAAAGGTGGCGGTATCGCGTAAAGTGAAATACAAGACGTTTTTGGTGCTATCCATTGATATGGTGATGAAGTTGTGTTAAGAGCAATTAATTGTTGTGATGCAGGAAGGTCACTTTCGCTTGTGCCGCCGTATACTATTATGAAATCATTTTGAGCTTTTCAAAAACAAATGATTTAGAAATTAAAGGTAATATGAATATGTATACTATCGATAATTGTACTGTATTTATAAAGAGAACTGATACCTAAAATTGCAGAGTGAAAATAGCGATTGCCTACGTTTGCTCCTCCAGCAATCTGATAATGAAATTTGAAAATTTACAAATATTTCAATTTATTACTTAATGAAAATATAACATAAAGTACCATTAAATACCACGTTGAAGATTGAGTATCGTACATTGGAATCTGTAAAGATTTATTTGATTTATAAGAATTTTACGTGAATTTGATAAATTGAAAAATCCTACCTGACTTATATTCACGAGACGAAAAGGTTGTCCCTCATAACTATTTTCTTTTCCACCAATAAAAATAATTAAATTTATGAAAAGGGTTGCACTATAACCTTCACGTGGTGAAGGAGCATTAACCATAGAGCCAATAGACCAAGATAATTGTGAAGTATCCAAAATATTCAAAATATTATAGCGTATTACATTTTCTGTCGGAGATCCTGTAGTAGTATAATCAGATCTCCCACCAAAATAATGTATTTTACCCGTATTATCTGAAACAGCCTGAACCTCTCGTCGCCTATTTGGTCTCGTACCATTAGTCACAGGTAACTTCCATTGTTGAGATTTTGTATCAAACGCATAAACTATGTCTGTCACTATGGCATTTTGATCAGTTATATACATCAAACCGCCAATTAGATAAATAGTTGATCTATCCGACATTATTCCGACACCAACCGATGATGTAGTCCATGAACTTCTCACAGGAACGCGTTTAGATGCTGTAAGACCCTTCCATGATGGAAACTCAATGTTGAAAGTTTTTGAAACATCAAGGTAAAACAATTCATCATAAAGATGAAAAAGTTCTTGCCCTTGATTTATTTCCGAGACTTGTCCACCAAAGAAATAAAGTTTATTGTCAACTAGAGTGACGCTATGGGCATATCGGGCTTCTGGAACAAATGATTCAACGTTTTCAAGATAGAAAAAGCTAAAGAGAAGAATCACAAAACCCGTTAAATGAATTTTGTGACTAATGTAAATGTAAATGTAATAATTAGACATGCGGAAATGATATAAACTTTATTTGTGAAAATCTCCAAGTTGACATTTTATGTACACAACATTGCAAAGACAATATTTATTCAATTATGTGTTTCTTTTTTTGTATAAGAATATATTTGGATTTGAAACAAGGGAGGTTTGCTAAACATCACTAATAATTGTTTAATGATATATTATTTTTCGAACTTCATATTTATGTATACTATAGCGATAACGATAAATTTTGATTAATCACACAATCCACCTGGCAATTTTCTATATACTCTCTATTCTAAAACCTATATTGACACTAATTTATCTTGAAATTTGATTGAGCGCACATTGTAAAAAATTTAAATTCGGCCCGAATTCTTATAATTCTGACCAACAAAAGTGTAACGTTACACGACATAATTTTTAAAAAAATAACAATTCAGGTGATACAAACACTTGGCCGCGTATTCGTTTTAAATGGAAGGCCCAATAGAAGACATAAAAACCAACCCATTTATCAACAAAAGAGAGAAAACTTTGATGAAAACTTTGTCACAAAAACTCAGGTGACTATATGCGTTGTGAACTTATATTTAGTGACATTCTTCTTTGCATGACCTTCTAGGCAATATTTAATCATATTTTGAGATCAAAAATCCTAAAAAATGGACATTATCGAGTTTTACCGGTTATGTATAGAAAATAACAAATACAAACCAGAGAGGCTCACTTATATAAAGGCTGCAGATAAATTTATAAAGGGTTTGCAAGATATAGTGGGCATGTTAACCGATGCAGATACTATAAAAAAAGCATTAGAACTTAAAGAGAAAATAAAGGCAAGTGCATAGATTTTTTTGTTGCAACTGGATAGAGGTTCCCATAGGCCGGAGCAACATCAACAACACAAGCACAGTTAGTTGGTTTGACTCGCCCACGACTACGCGGGCATTCTGCTTGATGGCCCGTTTATGATCTGTTCGATCGTCGTGGACGGCTAGCTTAAGAGAGTTCCGTTTTTGCGTAATTTTCATTTAGAGATAAATTGCCCTTTATTAAATTACAAACCAACGGTGCTCTCTTTATAGCAATATGGGAACTTTAATTGCATAACGCCAGGAAGCTTCGCACAATGAACAACCTGATCAAACATCCTGATGACATCTGCTGATCGTCGTAGGAATTTTAATTGCGCTTATCAGAAGTTATCTACACTTGGTCGAACTGTCCTGGCGGCACTGCGACTACGCGGGCATTCTGCTTGATGGCCCGTTTACGATCTGTTCGATCGTCGTGGCTAGTTGTAATTACTCTGATTTTCCGGTCACATATTTTCCTACCATTAATCAGTGACCGAAAAATCGATTATGTGTTTTATCAATAACCATGGGAGTTATAACGGTTTATCTAATTAATTTCTTTCTTTCTTTACAGTTGATCGTATTGTTTTGATCGAAGTTTCAATTCATACATCAAACTTCAAAGCCGTGGAAGTACGAAGTACACGGTGGCCATTTTCATGGAATTCTGTAGTAGAGTATATGCATGTATTTGAGCTAATTGCGTACTTTACGGTAAGTATCTATAAGTTTCCACAATAATAACGATAGCAAAATGTTTGCACATGTATTATTTGCTTAGAAAAATCTTCATGATCAAGAGAAGGTGATGAGGATGATGGTCAATGAACAACGCGGCCTGGTTGAGGTTAAATCTACCACAGTTAGCCAGTTGCTAAAAAGCGCATTATTTAGTAGTATACATGACTATAATAAACTTTTTTTCGGATCTTAGCTTTATACTTTATTTTGTGTACTACTGAATGTAATTTATCATGTTCGTTATAAATTTAATGTCGCATTTAAAGGTTTAACTTTAAAATAAGTGACCCAATTCTCGAGATCAAGTAAAAAATTAAATATATTTGCTTGCTCTTGAATTTAGATTGCAAAGTCGTACTGGTAAGAGGACAAATTTATAATTTTAGGTGAATCAAGATATTTTTTACAATTTATTTTTATGATGCTAATCTTGACCCATTATGACAAGACAATGCTATTTAAGAATTAATTCAATATAGTTTCTGATAGGTATTCTCCAATTTTCTATATGCTAACTACTTGGTAACTTCCAAGAGTATATGGAATGTCCCCTACTAAAAGAGACATTTTTTAAAAAAATTTTATTTAATTTTTTGATAGATGCATATTCAATGAAAAGATTCGCTATAGTCACAAGAACTGATTCTACCCGTATAATAAAAAGATTCATAAAATAAATTTTCAAAAAAATCGATTTAAAAAAAATTCCTTTCTTTTAGGGCAGGCTTAGATTATATGCAAGGAATATCACGTGACTTTAACACCAAAAATATTGAAGCAACACTAACATTCTGTTTCCTCAATATGTAATAAAATCGCTCAAGGAAAACATTTTGTTAGACGGTTTCTCGTGACAATGCCGTAATCATACATATACATTTTTAATCTTTATTTTTAAATACTCAATTTTAACCTTACATAGCGGTTTTGTGTTTGTTGAAAAATGGGAACTCTGGTCATTTTTTTGCGAGAACAAGAGTTATATCAACATTTCAATATTATTCACAAGGAAAAAATTACCGGTTATACCTTACAAAAAATAAAAATTACAGGAAATTGTTAGACGTGTAATCTGTAGACTTTGTATATCCAAATTAATTGAATTTCTAGATTTAAACAAGCGCGAGTATGAATGACACGATAGTAACATAACGATCACCGTCATTATCGTCTTGTTCAAGTTCGGCTTAAGATTTGCAATCTTCACATGGTCTTTTTTTTTTTTTAGATTCCTATAATAAAACTATAACAAGAGTGTACGTGAGCAAAAGATGTTCGTCAGCATAGGGAAATCTATACACGTGTGCCTAAATTATTTTTGAAAAAAAGTATTTTCGGCAAACATTTCGGCATTGCTAAATTTTTTATATGAAACCCT